CTAAGCAATGAGAATCTTATGACTAGAGCTGAAATTCAAAATAAAGAAATAAATGTCCAATGATTAAACTTTTTCCACTGCTGTTCACATCATGATTTGTTGTGATTAATGTATGTGGATGAGGACATAACAGAAAAAGAAAATGATAAGGCTTGTATATATGATGTGTTTCTGCACAATGATTTTTTTTCTGAATTTTTTGTTTTAGGAATAAAATCGAAGGGCGTTTTTCTTAGAGAACATCATTTGTCATATTTATTTAAGAAGTTGAAGATTTATATAATAAGGTATGGGACTTACACATTATTTTGATAAAAGAACACAGAAAATGTCAGATATGAGCAGAAAATGTCAGATATGAGCAGAAAATTGACATTTATTTTAGCCTAATGTGGATACTGTACTCTGAATTAAAAATTTCTTTTCCTTATTCTTCTAGCTTTTAAAGATAATAAATATTATTTCAAAATAGTATTTTTTAAATTGATAGATTCAGCCAGGCATGGTGGCTCACACCTGTAATCCCAACACTTTGGGAGGTCAAGAGATCAATACTATCCTGGCCAACATGGTGAAACACCATCTCTACTAAAAAAATACAAAAAATTAGCTGGGTGTGGTGGCATGCGCCTATACTCGGGAGGCTGAGGCAGGAGAATTGCTTGAACCCAGGAGACAGAGATTGCAGTGAGCCAAGATTGCGCCACTACACTCCAGCCTGGCGCCTGGCAACAGAGCAAGACTGTATCTCAAAAATAAAATTGATAGATTCAATTCAGGAAAGGCATTGGAGAGGGTGGAGCTTTTAAAACTGATAGTTTTCTTTTTCCTTTTTTTTTTTGAGACAAAGTCTTGCTCTGTTGCCCAGGTTGGAGTACAGCGGCACAATCTCTGCTTACTGCAGTCTGTCTCCCAGGTTCAAACAGTTATCATGGCTCAGCCTCCAAAGTGGCTGGAATTATAGGCGTATGCCACCACGCCCAGCTAATTTTTTTATTAAGCAGAGACCGGGTTTCGTCATGTTGGCCAGACTGGTCTCAAACTGCCAGCCTCAAGTGATCCACCTACCTCTGGCTCCCAGAGTGCTAGTATTATAGTTGTGAGCCACCGCACCTGGCTGATAGTTATCTTTTCTTAGAAATAATGATATAATCCTTTCAGCCCCTGAAATTCTTTGATCATACGTTCCAGGGTTTATAAATGACTTAGGTATGCCAATGAATCACTATCCAATAACTTAAGCTTTGTTCAGGAACAGTAGATAAGAAGGTGATAAGAAACTGGGAATCTTAAATCTAATACTAGTTCTGTCATTAATTAGGCTTGTTATTATGGGTATTTCTCAAATTTTAGAAATATGAGGGGTTGGCTGGGCACGGTAGCTCACGCCTGTAATCCCAGCACTTCGGGAGGCCAAGGTGGGCAGATCATGAGGTCAGGAGATCTACACCATCCTGGCCAACATGGTGAAACCCTGTCTCTACTAAAAATACAAAAAAAAAAAAAAAGCTGGGCGTGGTTGTGCATGCCTGTAGTCCCAGCTACTCAGGAGGCTGAGGCAAGAGAATTGCTTGAACCCAGGAGGCGGAGATTGCAGTGAACTGAGATTGCACCACTGCACTATAGCCTGGGTGACAGTGTGAGACTGTCTCAAAAAAATTAAATAAATAAACAAAAACACAAACGAACAAAAAACCCAAGAAATGTGAGGGGTCTTGAAAAAGTTTGTGGAAAATGCATATTATGAAAAAAACTATGCATGGATTTCAAAATTTTTTGTACCAAAATATACTCTTACTAACTTGTTATAACATCTGAACAGGATCTAGTTTGAAGCACTAAGAAGAATAAGACATCAGTTTGAAAAGAGGCTCTATTAGAGCACACAAATTCTGCTAAAATTGAAGCAAGAAGAAACATCAAATTTATGTTGACGCTTGGGTGGAAGAATTGTGAACTAATTGATGCTTTATGAAAAGTTTTATTGAGACAATGCTCCAAAGAAATCCATTTACAAATGGATAACTCATTTTAAGAATGGATAAGGTAATCTTGAAGAAGCAGCCCACAGTGGCAGATCATCCACATCAGTTTGTGAGGAAAAAAAATTAATCTAGTTCATGGCCTAACTGCAGAAAACCAACAGTTTATAGCAGAAACGACAGTCAACACCATAGACATCTCAGTTGGTTCACTTTACAGAATTCTGACTAGAAAAATTTAGCAAACTTTACACCCAATAGGTACCAACACCATTGCACCCAGATCAGCTACAGACAGGAGTAGAGCTTTCAATGGAAATTTTAAGTAAGTGGGGTCATGATCTTGAAGCATTTCATTGAAAAATTGTAACAGGAGATGAAACATGGCTTTAACAGTGCAATCCTGAAGACAAAGCACAATTAAAGCAGTGGTTACCAAGCTATGGAAGTAGTTCAGTCAAAGCACAAGTGGACTGGTTGAGAGCAAAGGTCATGGCAACAGCTTTTGGATGCTCAAGGTATTTTGCTTACTGACTTTCTGTAGGGCCAAATAATGGTCACATCTGCTATTATGAGTGTTTTGAGACACTTAGCCAAAGCTTTAGCAGAAAAATGTCCAAGGAAGCTTCACCAGAGCGTTCTTCGCAGTGCTCCTACTCATCTCTCTCATCAAACAAGGGCAATTCTGCGAGAGTTTTGATGGCAGATCACTAGGTATCTACCCTATAGTCCTGATTTGGCACCTTCTGACATTTTGTTTCCTAATCTTAAAAAAATTTTTTTAAAGCTCTACTTTTTTTTTCAGTTAATAATTAAAAAAAAAAAAAAACTGCATTGATGTGGTTAAATTCCCAGAACTCTCAGTTCTTTATGGATGGACTGAATAGCTGTTACCATCACTTACAAAAGTGTCTTGAACTCCATAGAACTAATGTTCAGAAATATAGTTTATATTTTTATCTTTTAATTCCATTTTCCAGAAACTTTGAAGTCTCCTTGAATATACACCCTTTGTAGAGGGGAAAAATTCTTGTGACTGTTCTTACTGACTTAATGCTGACTTAATTTTCTATTTTGTAAATATGTACAAACATAAAAGTTGATACAAATTTGGTTTATAGCCCTTAAACAAATTTGTGAAATAAATGCATTCAGAAACAAGCTAAACCAACATTCATGGAATGAATGCTACAGTTTTACTGAGGTGTAAACATGGTACTAGCTGCCATGGAAAAAGTTACATATAAACAGTCATGTGCCTTGTGATTGTTTTGTCTACAACTTCACTCTTTGTGGACCTAAAAACTATTGAAATGAGGGGAGGGGATCTGAATTCCTGAAAGAATGTCAACTGGGCATGGAGGCTCATGGCTATAATTCTTGCATTTTGGGTGGCCAGGAGTTCCAGACCAGTCTGGGCAACAAAACGAGACCTGTCTCTACAAAAAATAATTAACCAGGCATGGTGGTGTGTGCCTATAGTCCTAGCTACTTGGGAGGCTGAGGTGAGAGGATCACTTGTGCCCAGGATGCTGAAGCTACAGTGAGCTGTGATCACTGCTACTACACTCCAGCCTGGGCGATAGCAAAACCCTGTCTTTAAAAAAAAAACTAGGATGGTTTTGTGCTATGCAGATCCTAATATGAAGAATTATGCATTAAATTCTCTCCAAACCTTCTAACTCAAGTGAGCAATTCAGTTTTTTTTTATTTAGGATTAGGCTTGGATAGTAGTTAACTAAATTGGATTAAAAGTTAACTGTTTTGTGAACTAATATGTTTTTCTCTTAGATACAGGCAGTCCTTGCTTTGCGCAGTTCCAATATGCATAAATATGAATTACCACAGTACTGAGAAAACATACATAAATTCTGCTGCTAGCTCTTTAGTCCACAAGTCATTGTACAAAAAAAAAAGATAGGCATTATGATATGCCATTCGCATATGCCAGTTACATGACTTTCAAAGTTTGTTGGTGATTCACTACTGATCATCTGTTCAGTTGATGCACAGATAGCTAAGCACAAAGTGCATAGTAGTGTTGCCTCCTTGACCTCACAGTAGTGTTAACCTTGTGACCATTTATAAAAATGGATAATCAAAGAGGTAATTGGTTGGCAAAGGACAGGGCAGCAAAGAAAAGTGATAATGCCGGAAGTGAAATTGGATGTGATTAAAAGATTTGAAAGTGGTGACAGCAAAGATAGGTTGAGACCCAGACCTGCATAAAACTAAAACAAACCTATTGAAAAAGTGATAAATGTAAAAAGGTAAAGTTGCTTCATTGCACTAGAAACAAAGCTGTTTGTGATTGAAATGGGACATTACTTGTTTGAAGACTAATAAAAAACAAATCCCAATCAGTTTGACTAGCATTCAGGCCAAAGTAATAACCTTAGTTACTACATTGAAAGAAAATCGTAATTAGAAAAAGACTGAAAGAGAATATATTACTACCAGTAAAAGGTGGGTTCATCATTTCAGAAGTTGGCATGAATTGATGTTAAGCTATCTCTTGAAGCTGCAAGCTTCAGATAGAAGGTACAGAAGATAGAGCTGACTGTGGGAATGTTGACACTGCTGCTGTTCAAGAGGCAATTCTAGGTAACGTAGCAGAGGAACTCAGCGAAGTCAAATTTATAGACATAAAGTGGTTGTGATGTAAAGAATGACCATGTCTCAGGAAGTGATGCCAGCAAAAAAACTGCACATTAAAGGAGATACTTCAGATATTTTATTACATTGAAAATACAAAGGATGAACCTTTGGAAGCTGACCCAAAGTTAGGAAAGAGTAGTGACAATTTGCCAAGGCATAGAAAAGTTGGTCACTTGTAAGTTATGTGATAAGACAAGCACTGTTCAAACTACTCTTGATAAATTATAAAAAAATATTTTAGGCCGGACGCGGTGGCTCATGCCTATAATTCCAGCACTTTGGGAGGCCGAGGCGGGTGGATCACGAGGTCAAGAGATCGAGACCATCCTGGTCAACAAGGTGAAACCCTGCCTCTACTAAAAAAATCCAAAAATTAGCTGGGCATGGTGGCACGTGCCTGTAGTCCCAGCTACTCGGGAGGCTGAGGCAGGAGAATTGCTTGAACCCAGAAGGCAGAGGTTGCAGTGAGCCGAGATCGTGCCATTGCACTCCAGTCTGGGTAACAACAGCGAAACTCGGTCTCAAAAGAAAAAAAAAAAATTTGGTGTTTCAATGTTTCTAGTAGTTTAAATTACTAAAATTAGTATACTAAATGCTAGTTTTGCATTATTAGAAAAAAGTACAATTTAAAAAAAATACATAGCCAACAGCAGGAGAGGTTTGTTTTGTTTTGAGACCGTGTGTTACTCTGTCACGAAGCCTGGAGAACAGTAGAGATTTCAGCTCACTTCAACCTCCGCCTCCCGGGCTCAAGTGATTCCCCCACCTCATACAAAAAAAAATATTTTTTGTATTTTTATTAGAGACAGTTTTGCCATGTTGCCCAGGCCAGTTTGGAGCTCCTGAGCTCAAGCAATCTGCCTGCCTCTGATTCCCATAGTGCTTGGATTATAGTTGAGCCGTCATGCTTGGCCAGGAGAGTTTTTAATCTAGCAAATTTTAAAGTCACAGAACAATCATAAATTTTTGCACAGATTAAGATAACATTGCATAATTTCAGCTTGCACACTGAAAGCTAGGACTCCTTGCATGTAAAAACAAGCTAGGGAGTCTGCATATTTAACCAATGTAAATATGCACATCAACTCTACAAACAGCTGTATTTTAATCTGTATGATAATCAGTTATAATTTAACATTTACTTTATTTTTGAGACAGGATCTTGCTCTGTCACCCAAGCTGGAGTGTGTGGCATGATCTTGGCTTACTGCAATATCTACCACCTGGGCTCAAGCAATCCTACCTCAGCCTCCTGAGTAGGTGGGACTACTGGTGGGTGCTAACACGTGCAGCTAATTTTTTGTTGTTGAGGCTTTGCCATGTTTCCTAGGCTGGTCTTGAACTCCCGGACTCAAGTGTTCTGCCCACCTCAGCCTCCCAAAGTGATAGTATTACAGGTGTGTAGAGCCACTGCATCTGCCCTAACATTTACTTTTCATATGCTTTTGTGTATTGCCATATCAAAAGCTTTGAAATACAATTTTTATAATACTGTGCCTTATAGTGGACTTTTGAGTATTAACCCATTTCTGGCAAAAGTAATAAAAATTGACAAATTTGGCCTGGTGGCTCACACCTGTAATCCCAGCACTTTGGGAGGCCAAGGTGGGCAGATCATGAGATTAAGAGATTGAGACCATCCTGGCCAACATGTTGAAACCCTGTTTCTAATAAAAATACAAAAATTAGCTGGGCATGGTGGTGCGTGCCTGTAGTCCCAGCTACTTGGGAGGCTGAGGCAGGAGAATTGCTTGAACCCAGGAGGTGGAAGTTGCAGTGAGCTGAGGTCACGTCGCTGCACTCCAGCCTAAAGAGAGAAACTCCACCTCAAAAAAAAAAGATTGACAACTTTTTCCTGTTAAGGGCTATATAGTAAATATTATAGGCCATATGCTCTCTATTGGAACTACTCAGCTTGTATTGCAAAAGCAGTGGTAAACAATAATGTAAACTATTAACCATTAACAATATGTAAACCATTATGTTCTAATAAAATTTTATGGACAACAAAATTTGAATTTCATATAATTTTAATGTCATGAAATATTTTTCTTTTGCCTTTTTTCCTACTTAAAAATATAAAAGCCATTCTTAACTCATAGTAACTAAAAGGGGAGGTGGGGGGAATTTGCCAACTTATGCAATAGGAACATGCTGTTGCACTGTGAGATTGTATTAAATGAAACCAGAAAATGGAAATGCTGTTTAAATCATTGGTTTCTGGGAAAATGGAAGTTCTAATGAATGCTTTTTCCACATCAGTGCAAACTTGGAAGATAGCAGGGAGTATTTGGGGGATGAGACAGTAGAAAACAGTTCAGGCCTTTAATGTTTTCTTTTGGCCCAAATGATAGTCCCACTTTTAAGTCAGGGATTTTTATTACCATCTCTCTGGGTAAACTAGTCTTGTGGCCATAAAGCAAAATTAAAGCCTCTAGAACATAACTAGAAATTAACCTCTCTAAGCTAGGCTAGCTAGTACAGTTGACCCTTGAACAACAGGGATTTGAACTTCGTGGGTCCACATACGCAGATTTTCTTCTGCCTCTGCCATCAGAGACAGCAAGACCAATCCCTTCTCTTTCTCCTCAGCCTGCTCAATATGAAGACAACCAGGATGAAGACCTTTATGATAATCTACATGTGCTTACAGTAAATATGATTTTCTGAATTTCTTTCCTGTAGCTTTATTGGAAGAATATGCTATATAATTCATGTTACATAGAAAATGTATGTTTATCGATTTTTTTTTTTTTTTTTTTGCCCTACAAGGAAGTACTTTGTTTCTCTTAGAAAAAAAATTTCCAGACACTTAACAGTTAACAACATTTCAACAGCAAAATATTAGTTGAGAGAGGGGTTTTCAGGACTTGGGGGTCCTAGAGTATTAGGAAGAAATGTTGGTATCCTCATTCATTATAGATGGATGGCATAGGTCACAAATGGGAAACTGGCTGCCAGGCCAATATCAAAACCCAGTGGAATGACACTTCTCTGGAGTTTACTTTCCTTCCCGTTATCTTCCCTATCCCTCGGAAATGTCTACCACCATGTAAAGCCCAGTAGCAGCAAGCTTAGGCTCCAGTCAAGGGAAGGGAAGGTCACTCCTGAGTTTCCATGCTTTCTTCTTCCTCTCCTTGAGGTGGTTCTTCTGTATTCTCCTCTTCTTCCTCTCCTTCCTTCTTCTCTGGTGGCTTCTCATAAGCCTTTTCTGACGGTGTTACTATCACTCCATCCCAGGTAGATATTTCAGAAGCAAGATAGCTGGCATCACCCTCCTGGCCAAGGATCTTCCTAAAGCCACCATGTGAGAGGATTCGGACGAGAGTCTGAGCTGTATAACTGACCATGTCCTGCTGTTCTAGGGTCATGACTGTGTGTACTCTGAAGTTGCCACTCTCACAGGGGTCAGTGATACCCACTGAACCTGGCAGGAACAGTCCCGCAGCCAGAATCTGCAAGCAGCACCTGTATGCAACGTTTAGGGCCAAAGGCTGTCTGGTGGGGTTGTTCATCACAGCATAATGACCTAGTAGGTCAAGGATCCAGGGTGTTAGGGGCTCAAAGCCAGGAAAACGAATCCTCAAGTCTTTCAGTAGTCTGATGAGAACTTTAACTGTGGACTGAGAAGCATTTTCCTCAAACCAGCGGGCATGTCGGATGGCTGCTAAGGCACTTTGCAATACCTTGATATCCAAATGGAGTTCTGGGTCCAGTTTTCGAAGATTGGGTGGCACTGTTATAATGAGAATCTTCACTGTAGCATCAGAAGAACTGATTTCAAAGCCAGTTTCATTGGTCAGCATAGTTAAAACTTCAGAAGGATCCTGTGCTCTTAGGCTTTCCACGACTTTGTTCCCCAGGGCAGCAACAGCTTCCAATGTTGGCAGAATCTTGACTATCACCACCAGGTCAGCCACATTGTGTCCTGTAGTCATCGTCCCCTTTTTATAGGATCCCACCTGTCGAACTTCTTCAATTTGCACTTCAAATGTCCCTGGAGCCACAATCAGATTGTCAATCACATTGTTTATTTTTGTCACCAGAGAAAGGATAGATGCCTGTTTAGCAGAATTGGGAGCCAGGTCCTGATTCCTCTTCAGCAAGGCTTTGCTGAAGGAAGTTTCATCAGGTGCTGGCTTGACCCGGGGAAAGGCCATTTCACACAAATAGAAGTCAAATGGGATATGTGGTACAAAGGGCCTGAACCCTCCTCCTGGGCCTCCTCTGGAACCAAAGCGCCCACCACGACCACGGCCTCTGTCACCCCTCATGGCGGCTTAAAATCCGAACAATGGAGGCCGCACCAACCGCCCCTTTGCTCTCATGTTTATCGATTTTAACAGACTTCCCATTAACAGTAGGAACTATATGTAGTTACATTTTGGAGGAGTCAGAAGTTTGCTGATTTTTTTTTTTTTTTTTTTTAATGGAGTGTTGCTCTGTTGCCCAGGCTGGAGTGCAGTGGCATGATCTCGGCTCACTATAACTGCCACCTCCGGGGTTCAAGCTGATCCTCCCATGGCAGCTTCCCTAGTAGCTGGGACAACAGGCATACACGACCACACCTGGCTAATTTTGGTCACACGACCACACCTGGCTAATTTTTGTATTTTTTGTAGAGATGGGGTTTCACCATGTTGGCCAGGCTAGTCTGATCTGGCCTCAGGTGATCCACCCATCTCGACCTCCCAAAGAGCCAACTTTTTTTTTTGACATGGGGTCTCATTCTTTCGCCCAGGATGGAGTGCAGTGGCTGGATCTCAGCTTGCTGCAACCTCCACCTCTGGGTTCAAGTGATTCTTTTGCTTTAGTCTCCTGAGTAGTTGGGACTAGAGGCTTGTGCCACCACACCCGGCTAATTTTTGTATTTTTAGTAGAGACAGGGTTTCACTATGTTGGTCAGGCTGGTCTGGAACGCCTGACCTCAAGTGATCGGCCCGCCTCAGCCTCTCAAAGTGCTGATTACAGGTGTCAGCCACCGCGCCAGGCTTAAGTTTGCTGATTTTTGACTGGAGTCAACGCCTAACCGTGTTGTTCCAAGGTCAGCTGTAATCTGTTAGAGCTTATTTCAATCCTACAGAAATAAACTTTTGCTTTTATAGTCGAACCACATGTTAAGACTGAAAAGGCACTGGGAAGGCTGCAGTGAGTACAAAGATGTTTCTACTCCCTAGTCCTTAAGGAGTGTTTGCCATATTTTGCTTGTCTTTTTGTTTACAAAAGACAAACATTATTTCCAGGCATCTAGGAAAGAAAGGCGGTAGGAGAGTTGGCTTTGAACGCTAGGTGTAATGAGAAAAGAACTTGTCGAAAAGTTAGGAGACCTGGGTTGAATCCAGATTCTGGTAATTTAGCAAGTGATTTTCCTTTGGCTTCACGTCGTAAAATAACTCCTCCCTATACTAAAAGTACACCCAGGCAACGCATCTAATTAGATTTGAAGCTCTGGGAAAACTAATAAGGTTAACAGTGGCGGAAGGCGAGTGCTAACGGGTCTCAAATAATACCATGAGATAGTAACAAGTATGAAAGGATACTACTTGGAATTAATATAACACCCCATCTACGCCTCTGTCCACAGTAGCCTTTGGGTATGCCCAGTTCGTTCTGTAGGTCTCAAAACGCCAGAATGTAGAATCAAGTGGGTAATTTAAAGAACTCAGTGACAACTGTAATAAAGCCCTTGCAGCCCGATTTTTCCAGGAGGTTTGGCGCGGGCAGTGTCGCCAGGGGCGACCGACGCCTCGCAGGACTAGTGCTGCGTGACGTTCCTGCAGGCCACGGTGGTCATTCAGCCGGACGGAGACATCGTGCAGGACTTTTCCTGTACCCATGTCTTGGCTACCGCATCCACATTCTATGCGCCGCCCCTCAGAAAGAGTTCCTACATTCGTGCGGACGCGATGACCGCAGGGATCCTCAACGCGCAGAACCGTACACTGCTCCCTAGCCTATCGCCAATCCCGGAAGTGCCGCGGCGGGCCGTGCGTCGGGTGGGCGGGGAGAGACGTTCCCGGAAGTGTCGGGCGGCAGGGTGCGGCTGCGGCTGCCACGTTGGAGCGGAACGTGGAGGTGGCCCTGGCTGGGGAGGAGGGGCGGCGGCGAATGCTGGGAGAGTCCGACCGACGCTGCACTAACGCAGGACCTGGCTTCCGAAGGTCCTCGCCAGGTGCGTCCGCCCGTTGCTTTTTGTCCTCTTCGCCGGTCCTTCAGCCTTGAGGTTGAGCCCAGGCCAAAACTAGGGCCCCAGCCTGGGTCTCCGCTGCTCCGCGCCAGCCCGAGGCCCGGTCTTTGGTGACGGCGCGACCCTGGTCTTGGTTTTGGGCCCGGTGGAACAACGTCTGGTATCTGGACTCCTTCAGTGATCGTGCCCGTCCGCATCCGCCGACGTCTCCACTGCTGAGCAAGAGCCACTCGAGGCTGGCGACAGTGACTTGGTGGGGAGTCGTAGCCGGGCGGGTAACTGGAGTTTGAGGTTAGGAGACTTTCAGACCCTTGTTCACAAAGAGGTGCGGTCCCCGCGGGTGAGGAAAGGAAACAAATCTCAGGATTACTTTGGTTGACTTTAGTTTGGTTAGGATTGTTTTGATTGTACTTGAACTGTTGCCAGATTTAAAGGTTTATAGGTTTGAATTGACGTATACTGTCATTTAGCTAGGATTGGATTATTTTAAGGACAGTGGTCGCCAGGCGCAGCCTGTACTTTGAGGACAGTCTCGTTAAGTGTTATATGTTTTTGCTAACAAGTTGTTAAATTATGGGGCAGTTGTAAAATAAACCAAAATATTGCCTGGACTTGTGGGCGTTATACATTTTTCCTTGCGCTTAAGGAACTAATTTTACGTAGGGCTTTTTGAAGTTGCAGTGATCTGATAGTCTGTGTCAAATCGTTTCTTCTAAATTATGTTTTCGAACTATAGAAAACTGAAATTTGGTTGTCCTTATGGGCAGTTGTAACTGTATTTGAAATATCGATAAAGGTTTGTTCTTGTTATAGCGTCCTGTGTTTTCTGTACTTCCGATTATTCAAAGGTTGGCAAAAGCTTATTCTCCTTTTTTTTTTTTTTTATGACATTCTCGCTCTGTCACCCAGGCTGGAGTGCAGTGGTGCGATCTCAGCTCACTGCAACCTCCACCTCCCGGTGATTTCTCGTGCCTCAGCCTCCTGAGTAGCTAGGATTATGGCGCCTGCCACCACGCCCTGCTAATTTGTGTATTTTTAGTAGAAACGAGGTTTCACTGTGTTGGCCACGCTGGTCTCGAACTCCTGACCTCAAGTGATCCGTGCACCTTGGCCTCCCAAAGTGTAGAAATTGCAGGCGTGAGCCACCGTTCCCAGCCACTCTTCTTTTTTAGTAGTTCTTCTGTGCTGTTTCTCATTATCCCTTAATTCAGAGAAAGCTTTGTAGGCTCATAAGAACTTTTGGATAACTCATAATGTTTTTGTAGTTTTGTAGTGATTTTATTTTACATATGTCCAAAATTATTTGTGCAATTTGAAATTTGAGGTGGATTTAGAATTATACTGCTTAATTTTATGTAAGCAAAGTATTTATTGAAACTAATAACATAGGAATAGAAATAAATTTGTAAACTGTGAAGAGCAGTTATTCATAATATTTGAGAGATTTCACTGTCTTTTAGGAATCTAATGAAAGCATTGTAAGAATGTACATACACACACGTAGGGTTTTTGTTTTGTTTTGTTTTTGAGACAGGGTCACTCTTTGTTGCCCAGATGGGAGTGAAGTGGTGCAATTAATTATACCTCACTATAACCTTGAACTCTTGGGCTCAAGAGATCCTCTCACCTCAGTCTCAGAAGTAGCTAGGAATATGCACGTGGTGCACGCCCAGCTAATTAATCTCTCATTTTTTATAGAGGTGGGGTCTCACTGTGGCCCCCAGGCTGGTCTCAAGCTCCTGCTCTCAAGAGACATGTAGGATTTTCTACGTACATAATATCATGAAGTTTGCAAGTTAAAAACTCCTTTAAGGGGACGTTACTAGATTGATTTGCATTGATTACATTGTTTTTAGAAATGTCATTAGGTTGATTTCAGCTCAAAGAGTTTTATACTGAGGATTAATATGACACCAATTAGTTCAGTAACTAGTACACAGTTACTTTCTCCTTTGATTTGGTTTGGGTTGAGTGAAATGAGCCTAGAACATTCATAATACTAATAAATCCTCTAGAACAATTGTTTCTATCCCTATTGAGATATTTTGCCCACAGAAAATGGATTTTTACTAAAAGCAGTGCCAACTAGGGATTGTATACCTAGTTTGGGAGTCAAAGTTCCAATTCTATTACCTCTTTAAACTTTTTACTTGCTTCCTGAGGCATGCGTCAGCTCTGTATATAGCGTTGTAAGGTTGGTATTTTTCAAAGAATACTGCTGTTGGGTTTTACTATTGGTTTTACAAAATTTACATTTTGAAAATGAGCAGAAAGAAAAAAGTTTCCACCTAATTGAATGCAATTATTGAGAGAAAGTTGCAGGAAAAATAAGAGTTCTAGTCCGGAGTATAAATTTTCTTCAATGAAGGTTTTTGTTGTTGTTTTGTTTTGTTTTGTTTTTTCGAGATGGAATCTTGCTCTGTCACCCAGTCTGTAGTGCAGTGGCGCTATCTCGGCTCATGGCAACCTATGCCTTTCAAATTCAAGCGATTCTCCTGCTTCGCCCTCCAGAGTAGCTGGGATTACAAGTGCGCACTACCATGTCTGGCTAATTTTTCTATTTTTTAGTAGATACAGGGTTTTGCCATGTTGGCCAGATTGCTCCCCAGCTTCCTGCATGAAGTGATCCACCCACCTCGGCCTCCCAAAGTGCTGGAATTGCAGGCCTGAGCCACTGTGCCTGGCCAAGGCATGTATTTTTAAAAAGGTTCATTGTGGTAGACGTTTTAAATTGTGGTGTTTGTAATAACTGTCACTTATGAGCATTTATTTATATATGCTAGGTACTGTTCAAACCACTCTGAGTAATACCACTTATTTCTCACAGCAACCCTGTAGGGTAGGTACTGTTACCTTTATTTTACTGAGAGGGGAGGCAAGATAGACATGGATAAAGCTACCTGACTAGAGTCAGAGGTGGACATGGTGAAGCTGGAATTTAAACTGAGGGTGTCTGCTCTAGACCTCATGCTCTTAATTGCTGTGCAATAAATACTGTCTTCTAGATGGCATATATTAAGAAGCCATTGTCCACACAATTTTATTTTTTTTGATACGGAGTTTTGCTCCTGTCACCCAGGCTGAAGTACAGTGGCACAATCTTGGCTCACTGCAACCTCCACCTCCTGGGTTCAAGCCATTCTCCTGCCTCAGCCTCCCAAGTAGCTGGGATTACAGGCATCTGCCACTATACCCTGCTAATTTTTTTTGTATTTTCAGAAGAGCCAGGGTTTTGGCATGTTGGGTAGGCTGGTCTCAAACTCCTGACCTCAGGTGATCTGCCTGCCTCGGCCTCCCAAAATGCCAGGATTACAAGTGTGAGCTGAGCGCCTGGCCTTCTTTTTATATTTTCATAGTGATTATGTTCTGTGGAAAATAGTATTGAGTGAAACAAGTGTGCATAGTGTAAATTCTGATCATGTTTAATATTGAAAAAACATTGCACAAAGTATTTTAAGCAAGTCTTGCTTGGGAAGTATGTATGGTTTAATCTAAAACTTCTTCCTATTTTTGGGTGCAGTGGCTCAGGCCTGTAATCCTAGCTCTTTGGGAGACCAAGGCAGGATGATTGCTTGAGGCCAAGAGTTCAAGACCAACCTGGCCAGCATAGCGAGAACTTATCTCTATTAAACAACAACAACAAATTACATTTAAAGAAAAAACCTTTTCATATTTTTAAGAAAATCATTTACACCTAAATGAATGATTATTTCTAAGAGAAGGAAATACACATATATCCAGATGAAACTGTATTTTGATGGCATTCTTAGTAATTTTGAGAATGATTGCAATAGGTAGATTATTTAATAAGATTCAGGGCATATAATATAGTTCTAGGCCATTATTGTAGTATAGTGATTCTTTTTTTTGAAACGGAGTTTTGCTGTTGTTACCCAGACTGGATTGCAATGGCACGATCTCAGCTCACGGCAACCTCCGCCTTCTGGGTTCAAGCAATTCTCTTGTATCAGCCTCCCGAGTAGCTGGGACTACAGGCGCGCACCACCATGCCCAGCTAATTTTTGTGTTTTTAGTAGAGACGGGGTTTCACCTTGTTGACCAGGATGGTCTCGATCTCTTGACCTCGTGATCCACCCGCCTTGGCCTCCCAAAGTGCTGGGATTATAGGCGTGAGCCACCACACCCGCCCTTTTTTTTTTTTTTTTTTTAACATGGTATCGAAGCCTTATATTCAGGACAGGTTAATAAGGAGAACTGCTTCTAGTGGAACATTGAGTACTGAGGCTGATATATTTGTGAATGTTTTGAATTCCCACTTACTGTGTTCTTATAAATGTGTCTCTTTCTCTTTCAGTAAATGTTACACATTAACCAAGCATTAATGGATTAGGTAGTCCTTATGCTTTTGCTCTTAGAAATATTAGAATTGTATTCCATTTTTATAATAGAGCTATTTTGTTTTTCACTTGTAGAAATTATTTTGAAGGCATCTTATAACCTTTTCTCCCCTTAACAATACTTTCTCCTTTTTTAAATAGTGAATTATCCTTTAAAGAGTTAAGAATTTAAAAGTAAATGTTTTATCTGAAACTGGTCATTCTAGCTCATTTGTCTACTTGTTTTCCCCTAAATATAAACATTTAAAATAAATCAAACAAAACTTTCTGGATATTTCCTACCGTGCTTATTAGCAATTTGAGTCTAAAAAAGGGGTAAAAGTTTTGAGAAAAGACATTATTTGTCTAGTTGGTGAGATAAGATAGCACATAAGGCAGCTGGTTAAAAAAAGGGTAACTGGAAAATATGTAAATATGTGCTAATAGAATGTTATTACAAAGTGTTTAGTTAAAATAGAATGGCATATTCTTATAAAATGCTTAAATCCTGGGCCAAGCGTGGTGGCTCACACCTGTAATCCCAGCACTTTGGGAGGCTGAGGCAGGTGGATCACGAGGTCAAGAGATCGAGACCATCCTGGTCAACATGGTGAAACCCCGTCTCTACTAAAAATACAAAAAAAAAAAAAAAAAAATTAGCTGGGCATGGTGGCCCGTGCCTGTAATCCCAGCTACTCAGTTGGCTGAGGCAGGAGGATTGCCTGAACCCAGGAGGCGGAGGTTACATCGCACTCCAGCCTGGGTAACAAGAGCGAAACTCCATCTCAAAAATAAAATAAAATAAAATAATGCTTAAATCCTAATACTGACAAATGTAAACTTGTAGGGGAGTATTTAGATCAGTGTGGATTGGATCATTAGGGCAGTTTTCATGGAGGAGCTGGAATATGAATTTATTTTTAAAGATTAGGTTAGACAGTTGGCAGAGAGGAAGAAGAGGGAATGCATGTAAGAAAATAGGTGCCTTTTTTACATCTTAGAAAGTTGGATTTTTTCCCTCAAATAATCTCAAAGTTTTCTTATTTAATCTCATGATGGCAGTAAGTTTTAAAAATAGCAAGCCTGTCAAAAACACTAACTCAGCACTTTGTTTGGCTCCCTATTATAAAACATATTATCTCATTGAAACCTCACACCATCCCATTAGGTGGTCACTCTTTTCCCTATTTTATGAATATAGAAACTGGTGCTCAGGGAGGTTAAATAACATGTCCAAAGTATCATAGCTAATAAGTTGGCAGAGCCAGTAGTCAAATTGAGGGTTAACTCCAGACCATGCTTTTAACCATGTGATACATCCTGCCTCCTAATCTCACTTTGCCCTACCTAACACAATTTCTAAAATGCATTTCTTCAATTTCATCATGTATGTTGGTTGCTTTGTTATTAATTGTTTCTGCTAAATGTTAATTTTCCTCTATGATATAAAAATTGAATACCTGAACTTGTTGGAAGTAATAAGAACTTGGACTCTGGAACTAATCTTCTGAGCTCCGAACTTGGTTCTGTCCCTTGCCACCTGCTAACATGTACAGATTGTCTTTTTGTGTCCTAATTTTTTCCTATGTAAAATCTCCTTCAAATATGAACAATTTGCAAGTAGAGGACTCGGGGTATATGTTTAAGGGAATCTTAAGGAAAACGTTAGAGGATAAGCCCTGGAGCTGAGTAGGGAACTGGCAAAAGTACTCTCGGAGAGCACTGAGTGTGCGTTTAACTGCAGTGCTAGACGAACAAAAGTGAGAATGAGGAAGAAATAATGAAATATAAACGTTAAATGTCCAGTAATGTAGGAGTTGGTTATACAACTAATAAAAAGAAAAGAAGAAAGAAATTGAAGGCAGAATAAGTTTGTGAATTGCCATATCTGTAGTGGTTATGAGTCAAAGGACATCATTTAAAGCTGACAAATCAGTTAGTAGAATTGTAAGCATATTTAGCAGTTCAAAGGTAAACACTGAGAAAGATAATACTATTGACTATAAGTAACTGTGTTGTGTGAGGGGGCAGTAAGATTATACAAGCTAATTTCATAAGTGCACACAGTAGGGAGTTAGTAGTTACTGTATAAAAAAATAGGGGATTGACGATATTAAGTAAAATATTTGAAATTACAATTATAAAGATAAAATCAGAACTCTGGTTTCTTTTCAAATTGTATAAATGTTTCGAATTTTACTAAAGATTTCCATGGAGAGGAACAATTCTGAGTCTTAATCCAGTTTTTTGAGGCCCTGCTTTTGTGGGGCTGATTTAAAAAAAGAAAAAATTTAAAAAAAGAATCAGAAACATATTAGAATAAAAATATACATTATCCTAATAATTGCACAAAAAAGAAAATAGGCAATGAAAGACTTTTAAAGAAATTTATTACCCAAAGATATTAAACCAAAGTAAAATATGGTAAAACTAAGACTAACCATGTCTGTCATATCAATACATTTTAAATGACCTTAGCTAATTTAGCCTTAGCTAAATTGGATCACCAACAAAATGTTGGCTCTTTGTTTGTTTGTTTGTTTGGATCACCAACAAAATCTGTTGGTTTTTTGTTGGTTTTTTGCTGTATTCTGGATAGCTAATGACAGCAAAGTAGTTTTGAAGGGCAAAATTATACATGTAAAGGCAAATAAAAGATGGAATTTGGACCAAAAGTCATTATTTCAGACAAAGAAGGATATTCACAAATATATATATATGTGCATGTATGTATATATATGTATGTAAATATATGCCAAATATAAAGTGTATATTTGGCAGTGAATTTTAACATTATGGATATACAGTGTTGGTGGTGAGAGAGGTTATGTGATTGGAGAACTGTGTAGCAATTCTTTGTACTTTTGTTCAACTTTTCTGTGAATGTAAAACTGCTCTAAAAGATAAAGCCTATTTTTTTTAAAATTTGAATCAAAATCCTTTGAAAGGTAAAAAAAAAAAATTTCTTTTAAAGCAAAGTCAAAAGATAGTCTGTCAACTTCACAGATAAATGGTCAAATGATGTCTGGGCACAGTGGCTCACACCTGTAATTCCAGAAGTTTAGGAAGCCAAGGTGAGTGGATCACCTGAGGTCAAGAGTTTGAGACAAGCCTGACCAACATGGTGAAACCCGGTCTCTACTAAAAATACAAAAAAATTATCCGGGTGTGGTGGTGTGTGCCTGTAATCCCAGCTACTTGGAAGGTTGAGACACGAGAATCTCTTGAACCTGGGAGGCAGAGGTTGCAGCAAGCCAAGATTGCGCCAGTGTGCTTCAGCGTGGGTGACAGAACAAAACTCCGTCTCAGAATAAAAAAGAAAGAAAGAAATATAGTCAAATGATATAGACTAGACAGAAGAGATGACAGAAAAGGAAATATGGGCCGGGCATGGTGGCTCATGCCTGTAATCCCAGCACTTTGGGAGGCTGAGCTGAGAGAATCACAAGGTTAAGAGATTGAGACCATCCTGGCCAACATGGTGAAACCCCGTCTTTAAAAAAAAAGAAGGAAGGGCCGGGCGCAGTGGCTCAAGCCTGTAATCCCAGCACTTTGGGAGGCCGAGGCGGGTGGATCACAAGGTCGAGAGATCAAAACCAACCTGGTCAACATGGTGAAACCCCGTCTCTACTAAAAATACAAAAAATTAGCTGGGCATGGTGGCTCATGCCTGTAATCCCAGCTACTCAGGAGGCTGAGGCAGGAGAATTGCCTGAACCCAGGAGGCAGAGGTTGTGGTGAGCCGAGATCATGCCATTGCACTCCAGCCTGGGTAACAAGAGCGAAACTCCATCTCAAAAAAAAGAAAAAAGAAAGAAAGAAAAGGAAATATGGTTGACCTATAATCATATTTAAAAAAGGATGTTATATATCATGTATAACTATACCAAGTTAACATTTTTCTTTGTTTCTTTCTTTTTTTTTTTTTTTTTTTGACATGGTCTCACTCTGTCACCCAGGCTGGAGTGAAGTGGTGCTATCAGGGCTCACTGCAGCCTCAACTTCCTAGGCTCAAATGATCCTTCCACCTCAACCTCCCGAGTAGCTGGGACTACAGGCGTGTATCACCATGCCCAGCTAATTTTTGTATTTTTTTGTAGAGATGGGATTTCACCGCATTGTCCAAGCTGGTCTTGAGCTCCCAGGCTCAAGCAGTCTGTCTGCCACAGCCTCCCAAAGTGCTGGGATTACAGGCCTGAGCCACTGTGCCTGGCCTTTCATTGTTAATGTTGGTAAAAATCTTAAAGTGTGACAGTATACTCTGGGCAACAAGTAATTACATGTTATTGTTAGTGGTTGTAGGGCAACAAGTAATCATATATTACTGTTAGTGGCATGAAAAGGTATAGTTGCCATAGAGAACAGCTTGGTAATATTCATCAAAATTAAAATTGCATTAATCCTTTAACTTAACAGTTTTACTTCTGGGAATTTATAGCTGTCCCTGCTCTTTAATGAAATAGCATGTGCAGATGACCATTTCTTTCAGCATTTTTTGGTAAAAATAGCTAAAAACAGCTTAGGTGTTCATTGGTATCGGACTAGGTAATTATCGTACATCTTGCAGTAGAGTAATATGTCATTTCAATATATTTACGTAAAAATAACAAAGATCTTTAAAAAGTACATAATACTACACCTTTCTAAGTAACTTTTTTTTTTTTTTGAGACCGAGTCTCTGTCACCCAGGCTGGAGTACAGTGGTGTGATCTCAGCTCATCTCTGCCTCCTGGGTTCAAGTGATTCTCCTGCCTCAGCCTCCTGAATAGCTGGGATTACATGGGTACACCACCACGCTGGCTAATTTTCTTGTATTTTTAATAGAGACGGGGTTTTGCTATGTTGGCCTGGCTAGTCTCGAACTCCTGGCCTCGGCCTCCCAAAGTGCTGGGATTGCAAGCATGAGCCATCACACTCGGCCCATCAATGTAACTTTAATGACAGAAAATATGTAAACAAGTGGTATATGGTATTATACCTTGAAGTGACCAGTTTTCTGATAATTTCTACTTTATCTTTAAATTCTGTGAGCTTACTATATTCTCTCTAATATGTTTTAATTTAGAATTAATTTTTAAACTGCTCTTATCATTGAGTAATCCTACTCCAGGAAGTTGTATCTTATTTATTTTTTGCCTGCTCTTACCCATAATGTTTTGTTACCCATTCGTGTTTGATAAACATGTGTAGCAAAGTTAATTCTTCAGGTACTACCTTATTGTTTTTGTGGGCTATTTTTCTAGACTGATTCAACTGAAAAACTATAATCTATAAACAGAATAGCCCAATATTTGTCTCAAAATAGTTTGTCAAGTTTGTCTGCTTTCTAATATTGAACATTTCCAACAAATGATACCTAAACCAATTTGATCTATTTGCAGTTGGGAATTAATAATGTTGTAGTGGTTTGTTCAGTGTGTTTCTATGTAAAATATCTGTGTTTTGTGTTAGACATTCAAATCATTCAAATCTGTTTATTTGTAAAATAGATTTGTCTTTAGCAGGATGAAGTTAAAGGAAGTAGATCGTACAGCCATGCAGGCATGGAGCCCTCCCCAGAATCACCCCATTTATCTAGCAACAGGTAAGTTCAAAGGAGAGAAGATAATATGAGTAACCTAATTTCTTCTCTTCTGCATCTAGCTTATTCAGTTTAAGCTTTATGTTTTCTGGAAAGCCTATCTCTCCCTGACAAGTTACCGACATTCTGTCAGCTGAGTTCAGTGTTCTTCTGTGTTCCCATAGTGTTTTGATCATGATGGGTTACATCTAAAGTATTTTCCTTACTTTACAGGAATTGTATTTTATCTTTATTTCCCTAAATGGCATGTGAAAAACAGTTAATAAGTTTGAATGAATGAAGAACAATTTTGTTGTTAGCATTTTTTTTTTAAATAGTCTTACTTTGTCGCCCAGTCGGCAGTGCACTGGCGTCATCTCAGTTCACTGCAACCTCTGCCTCCCGGTTTCAAGTGATTTTCCTGCCTCAGTCACCTGAGTAGCTGGGACTATAGGCATATGCCAGCACACCCCGCTTATTTTTGGATTTTTAGTAGAGAGCAGGTTTCACCATTTTGGCCAGGATGGTCTGGATCTCGACCTCGTAATCTGCCCTCTTCAACTCCCAAAGTGCTGGGATTATAGACGTGAGCCACCATGCCTGGCCAATGTTAGCATTTTTATATAAAAAGAATTAGTTGGCTGGGCTCAGTGGCTTTATGTCTGTAATCCCAGCACTTTGGGAGGCCAAGGCAGGTGGATCACAAGGTCAAGAGATTGAGACCATCCTGGCCAGCTTGGTGAAACCCCGTCTCTACTAAAAATACAGAAATTAGCTGGGCGTGGTGGTACAAGCCTGTTGTCCCAACTGCTTGGGAGGCTGAGGCAGGAGAATAGCTTGAACATGGGAGGCAGAGGTTGCAGTGAGCTGAGATTGCACCACTGCACTCCAGACTGGGCAACAGAGCAAAGCTCTGTCTCAAAAAAAAAAAAAAAAAAAAAAAAAGTTGGCCTAGCATGGTGGCTCATGCCTGTAATCCTAGCACTTTGGAAGACCAAGGTGGGTTGATCATCTAAGGTAAGGAGTTCAAAACCAGCCTGGCCAACATGATGAAACCCCATCTCTACTAAAAATACAAAAATTAACTGAGCATGGTAGGGTGGCCTGTAATCCCAGCTACTCGGGAGGCTGAGGCAGGAAAACCACTTGAACCTGCGAGGCGGAGGTTGCAGTGAGCTGAGATTGAACCACTGCACTCCCGCCTGGGCGACAGATCAAGACTTCATCTCAAAAAAAAAAAAAAAGTTACATCATGTATGTCTATAAGCAGATATAGTAAATCACTATACCATTTTTACAGAGATTTAAAAAATATCTACAAGCTTAAAAAATTATTTATACTACCCACTGTTATAAACATTGTCTCCTAGCCCTGTGCCAGAATCTCATTCCTATAGTAATTTAAGCATCTGCTCAATGGCATATGTGCTGAGATTTCAGCCACAAATGCAGCATTCACGAGCGAGAGAATTGAAAAACATGCCTTTAGTTTCTGTCGTGTGGTTTATTTGAGTCTTTTATTTTTGTATGTATAGTAACCATAAATGTATTTTCTATAGGAACATCTGCTCAGCAATTGGATGCAACATTTAGTACCAGTGCTTCCCTTGAGATATTTGAATTAGATCTTTCTGATCCATCCTTGGATATGAAATCTTGTGCCACATTCTCCTCTTCTCACAGGTATGAGGTTTCAGCTTTAAATTCATGT